CCCCAAGGTTCAATCTTCGGACCTCTATTATTTAATATTTTTATAAATGACATATTCTATTTTATTGAACATGGAACCCTTTATAATTATGCTGACGATAATACTCTGCCATATGCTGACAACGATTTTGAAAATGTATTATGTATACTTGAAAGAGAAAGTGCTGTTTTAATTGATTGGTTTAGATTTAATTGTATGCAGGCAAATCCTGATAAATTTCAAGCCATTGCAGTTGGAAATAAAACATTTGCAAAGAAGCCTGTTTTTAATATACAGTTGGCTAAAATATCATGCGATGAGATTGTCAAACTTTTAGGTATTGATATTGATTATCAACTTAATATTAATCACCACATTAAAAGTATTTGTCGTAAAGTCTTTCAACAACTGGATGTTTTAAAGCGCATTGGTTGCTATATTACTAAATTAAATAAATTGACCATTTTGACACATTTATTTTAGCCAATTTTAATTTTTGTCTTTTGGCATGGCATTTTTGCAACAAAAATAATACCACTAAATTTGAAAAAAATCAGATGATGATGGGGATTTTTAACGACCTTGACTGGCTATACAGCCCTTGCACGGTCGGCTCGTGCCCGGAGGCGATTGTTGAGCATTGAATATTTTCTGTTGCAATTGGTCAGAAACAGGTGGAAGGCGCCATTTTGGTAGTCGGTCGAGTTGTTTTGGTTTTTTACTATTTTGATGTTTCTTTGCATAGACTCCACAACGGCTGTTTTCAGGACCAGGGTGATCAGCTGGGCAGCCCGCTAACCACGACGATGTGTTGCTGGTAGATGAATCATTGACTCCGTAGTAGATGACTGCAAATTGCACTAAAACTACGATACAGCTAGCCTTTCTTTCATCATTCTGGTCAATCATCCTCTCAAATCGACTACATTCTAATTAGAAATTTATCAATTTACAAACAGCACAAAATTTGGAACTGTTCAGTTACAAATAGCTCAGCTCATGTGCCAGTAGAAACAAATACCACTGTAAAAATCCCAAGTGGTGCAAATAGAAAACCATCGGAAGGAACTTCATACAAAAAAACTACTCTGGGATGAAATAGACACTGAAACATACAACTAAAAATTATCAGAAGGACTCCTTAAAATTCAATATGAAGAATCAACTTCAGACCAACTTCAAACCATTACAAATGAATTAATAAAAGCAACAAAATTGGCTGTTCCAGCAAAACCAATTAAGTTACAAGGGCCAAAATGGAAAGCAATGTCAACTGTTCGAAAACATCTGAAATCATATAAATTACTATATTCACATTGGAAAAATCAGTGACGGCCACAAAACCATCCATCACACACTGAACTGAGAACAGCAAAGAAACTTTTAAGAAATTCGCAAAGAATAGAGGAAGCCATTGCTAGAAAACAACTACCAACAGATCATGGAAAACCCACAACAAAACTTTTTTTATAGATTGATAAATAGAAACCGAAAATCAAGAAAATTACTACAACTTGTTTAGAAATAGATGGTGTAAAGTAATACTGTCATTCAAACCAAAGAAAAGTATTTGCTAAATACTATGAAGACTTAAGTATGCCAAAAGACTCTGAATATGACAACTCTTCTTTAGAACTTTGCAAAACACGTCAAAACCTGATTGAGAAATTTTATAAAGAAAATCCAGTTACATCTGTCCCATATACGGAAAAAGAAATTCAAAATTCAATAGAAAATTTAAATATAGGGAAAACACCAGATGAATGCGGGCTCACTGCCGAACATCTTAAGTATGCCAAAACAGTATTAACACCAGTATTAACAGCTTTATTTAATAAAATCAAAGGAATTCTTACTCCAGTTATAAAGAGTGGAAAAAACCCTCTAGATGTCAAGAGCTACAGAGGAATTATTGTTACTCCCCATCATTGGAAAAGTACATGAACTGTGTATACTAAAGAAGCTCCAACTACAACCGGGGCTCAGATCTACAATTTGGTTTCACAGAAGGATAATGTCCTCTCATGGCAAGCTTACTCATAACAGAAGCAAAATGTGAAAAACTTCCAAAGAATATACCATTATTCATAACAACAGTAGATGTACAATCAGCTTTTGATGTAGTCAAACATATCATACTAATGGACAACATACTAGACCAAAATATTCCTCCAGATCTTTTACAATTAATTAAGGGACTATATACAGATCTAGAATCGAAAGTGAAATGGATGGGGGACACTAGTCATACTTTTAATATCAAACAAGGTATTAGACAAGGAGGAATTACACTAGTGATACTTTTAATATCAAACAAGGTATTAGACAAGGAGGAATTCTTTCTACCACCTTTATAAACTGTATGTCCAAGACCTACTTGAAGAACTCAAAAACAACTCGATTGGCTTCCACCTAGGAAATATATACATAGGCGCACCTACTTGTGCAGATGACATTGCCCTATTGAGCTATGACACATCTGAAATGCAATTAATGCTTGACATTATAGGTAGATATGCCGAACAGCATCAATATAACATCCATCCAACAAAAACTAAAATCGTACAGTGCAATACGAAAGAAAAAGACAACAAATGGTTATTGAAAGGAAAAACTATTGAACCAACAAATGCCACAACACATATAGGTCTTCAAAGAACAAATAAAAGAGAAAATGAAATTAACATTGATGACCGTATTAAACTAGCAAGAAGAACAAAACACTCCTTAATGAGCTCAGGTATTCATGGAACAAACGGGGTTGACCCAATCACAGGATATAACATCTACAAGACATATACTCTCCCAAGGCTTCTATATGGCTTAGAAATACTACCTCTTACTAAAGGTCAAATTGAAACACTAGACACGTTTCATAAAAATACCTTGAGACATATCCAATCGCTGCCTCAAAGAACAGCTACATCAGCATTATATCTACTACTAGGAGCAATTCCAGTCGAAAGAGAACTTCACAAGCGGCAATTATCTATGCTCTACTCTACTATCGGCCAAAAATCAAACTATTCAAGATCTCTTACAACGTCAATCATCAATCAGTTTTGACAACCCAAAAAGCTTCTTCTTGGGTGCAATGGAAACACTTCAAATATACGATCTTCCAAACATATGGGAACTTCAAAGCAATTTGCCTATAAAATCTAAATGGAAAACATTAGTAAACCTTAAAATGTCAAACTACTGGAATAATGCTCTCCAAATTGATATAGTCCAAAAGACATCACTTAAATATCTAGCTGTAAATTATATTAAAACTAGAAAGCCGCACATCTCCTACACCACATTGCAACCTACAATTGTAGATGTTCGGAAAGGTATCATCAAAAGTAGGATGATGACACGAACATATACCCTACAAGCTGATCGACATAAATAATTTAGTATATATGAAATTTCTCCAACATGTCAATTATGTAATCAAGAACCAGAAGACCTTCCACATATGCTTACTACCTGCTCAGCATTAAGTGAGACAAGAAAAGAAACTTTTACGCCAATCAAAATTTATATAACCAAATTCATTGGAGAAAGGAAATGGAAAGAGACCTTTATAGATAGACATAAAATTGCAGTCCTTATTATAGACTGTACAAACTTCACACATATATTCAGAGGAAGCAAGCTCAAAATAGAAGAACTAGAAACGTTAACAAGAAATATGTGCTACAAGATGCATAATTCAAGACTAAAATTGATAAGTGTGTGATGGCTGTTGACAATTATCACTCACTCTCAGAAACTTAGCAACTGTATATATATTTACGGAGTGTGTACATAGTTAAAAAGACTTTTTAACCATATTACCCTCAAAAGAGGGGTGTTCTTATTAGAGGAAGCTCATACGAAGAAAAGAAGAAGCTAGCCCTCGGACGTTTAGGCAGCATATGACACTCACCCATCCACAATGGGTTTCAGAGTGTTGCTTACGCGGGTGTACTGTACGGGAGCCTCATAAACTAGTTTGTCGTTGAACCATTTGAACAGCGTAACATGTTGTAGCTAACGGATAATCAGCTATAAGGACTGAGACGTGACTTTAAAAAAAAATCAGGAAAGAGCTTTACGATTTATATATGAAGACTATGTTAGTTCGTATCATGAATTACTTGTACGAGCAAAGGTTCCGCACTGAAAATTAGACGTATGCGTAACATGGCTATTGAATGTTTTAAATTTTATATAAATTGTCACCACCATGTTTACATGATTTAGTTGTATTGAAAGATAGTAAATACAATTTTAGATATTCTAATATTGTAGATATACCTAGGGTTCAAACATCAACATATGGTAAGAACTCTTCAAGTTTAAATATACAGCTAGCCCACAGGCACTTGTCTAAATTGTTAATATAATTAAGGTATATAGGAAATTTTTTTTCTGAGACAAGTGCCTGTGAGCTAGCCTCAGTGCTGTTTTATGGAATGATCTACCTGATGATTTTAGAAAAATTGCAAATTTCAGTCAGTTTAAAAATATTTTAAGGTCATGGAATGGAAATGACTGTAAGTGCACAGTTTGTGCAGATTATTAATTTATATATTATGTTATATTTTTACCATTTAAATCATAGCTAGCCCATTTATTATATTTTATGCAATGCATTTTACCAGCTTTCTAATCATGCTTAGTTTACATTTTATGTTTTTAGCTTTAATACCTAGTATGCTTTTAGCTTTAAATCCTAGCTTATCATGCTTATAATTTCCTTATTACCACCATGCTTATAGTGCTATAACTTATTGCATGCGTATTATGTATTGTATTGTTATATCTTGTATGTCGGTTAAAAGCTCATTAGATCTTATGTTATGTCCTTATTAGCATACTATGCCGACTCTAAATAAAGCTTATTTATTATTTATGAAAGAAGTCCGAGTTGTCTTATTGACGTTCCGAGTAGTCTTCATAGACGACTGTGTTATATTTGGGCCGAGTAGTTATGTACCCAGTAGGGCACCTGCTCTTTAAAGCTTCCGAGTGATCGAGATCATGCGTAGCATTGATTCCGACTTTTCATAGAAACAACAAACACATTATAGGTGAAATTTTTTTTTATATGATTTTCGATTACATATTTGTTTATATTTAGGACTTAAAACGATTACATAATTTTGAAATTAGATCTAGGTTACACTTGTGTAAAATAGACAATGTAGTGTTAAGATTCATCACAAAACATTAACAAATACATGCATGGCCGTGTTTACCTGTTTACACCCAAAATTTACTCTTGAGTACAGACAAATTGAGCACCTGGAAAAGTTTAAAAGCATTGCAGAAACCAGATGATTAGATTTTAGATGCATTTGATGTTTCATGAAAATTCAAAACTTCGGGATTTTAAGAGGTTCAAATGGTTTTATCATTTACCATTTAGGATTTCATAAAGGATACAATGATTTCCTGAGAAATCCTGAAAACTTGACATGAACCCTGCACAAGGCACTGGCATACTTTACACAGTCCACTATCAAGTTTGAATAATTATGTATGCCAGAGTCCCGATGGGAACTTGCGTAAATAGTACACAAATCAAATTCATGAAGTTAAATTGTACTTTAATTGAGTAAAAATGACATATACTTCAAAATTATAGACTTTATAGTTTATCAAACAGATAATTACTCCCTACACAGTAATGTTTTCGGGTAATATGTATTAGTTCTCGGGTTCATATTGAGTTTTTGGGAGTTCTCGCTAAATCGGTATACCGATTTATAATACACGACTATCAATTCGTGCACTTTCTAGTAAATTTCCTATGTCACAATATTGTTATTACGTCACAGTAAGAACTGCTTGTTCAATGACGTCATTTCAGCCGATTGACCTCCGGTCAACTGGTGTAACTCATTCATAAAAAACAACTCAAGATTGCATGGTGTATACCTCAAATGCACAGGCACTTGTCTCTGAAAAAAAATTACCTACATGTATATACTTTAATATAACACAAGGTACCCTACTCATATTTTTAAGAAATGACATATTATCTTCAGCCATCATCCAATGATATCTGCATTGGTTGTTAAATAACTTGCACTATGATTGAAAGGGGTAATCATAATTTGTTTTAATTTTTGCTATCTGCCGCCATTTTTATCAGCAATTATAATCATATGCATGTAATTGCATAACCCCTATTGTATTATAAAAACCAAAGGGTCCTCTTAATTACTTTTTTTAAGCCCTGAAGGATATCCTGCTTATAATCAGTAATCACTAGTACAGGTAGATCGACACATCTGACAGGAGAAAACTTGATCTAGATAGACAATTAATTGCATTATTTAATTAGTTTTCAGCAAATGCTAATGAAAATTAAGATTAAAAAATAAAATTTTAATTCAATTACGAAGAATAAGGTTTATTAAGTCAAACATGTGCTTTTATTGACTTGCGCAATCTGCATCCCTCTTTTTAAATGAGTACAAGATTAAACTCTTTATTGGAAAATGGAACATAATTTCATGCCAAATAACACGAGTACAACAATTTATCGAAGTATTGAATCACTGTGAAAGTAAATACATGAGTATTAACTGCAACTTGATAATCTGAAGAAATTTTGTATCGTAATTCCAAATTCATTTAGTTGTTTACAATCAAATTAATACATCCGGTTTACAGATGCATGTTGCATTTTCTATTTCTATGGAATGTGAAATTTTAAGTCATTAAAACCATTTCAGTTTTAATAATTTCCACAAATCTTTATTCGTTGTTTTCCAAAAACAGATATAAAGCTTCTTGTTGTTGATGATGCAAATCGGAATTGTTACAAATGACAATTAATGAAACTATTGGTTATTTTATAATGAAATTATTATAATAAACAAGATATCAATCTATTCACTATTTCTTGCATTGAAATGGAGGGAGGAGAGTAAACTTTCGATCATGACCTGTGGGGTTTTATCTTGGTGAAAGTTCCTCCATGGTTAAATTTTCATCCATGGAGATCCCTGGCTTTCATGATTTTGCTATTTCATAAAGATATAAATAGGTTTTCGACAAATATTTGATGCATTTTCAACATATTATATATATACATGTATGGTTAAAATGGCATCTGTGAAAAAAATTGCCATCTGATTATTTTCAGATACTTATGATTTAAACTGCAGCCTTGTCATATATTTCATATCAATTTCTCAACCTTATTGATGTCATAATCATGAAGCTAGAAATAGTGACCTATTTCAGTGGCTCAACCTATCACACATTTTTGTCGAGCCTTCGACTTTTGTCGAAAAAGCGAGACATAGCGATCCTACATTCCGTCGTCGTCGGCGGCGTCCACAAATATTCACTCTGTGGTTAAAGTTTTTGAAATTTTAATAACTTTCTTAAACTATCCTGGATTTCTACCAAACTTGGACAGAAGCTTGTTTATGATCATAAGATAATATTCAAAAGTAAATTTTTTAAAAAAAAAATTCCATTTTTTCCGTATTTTACTTATAAATGAACTTAGTTTTTCTGCCAGGAAACATTACATTCACTCTGTGGTTAAAGTTTTTGAAATTTTAATAACTTTCTTAAACTATCCTGGATTTGTACCAAACTTGGAAAGAAGCTTGTTTGTGATCATAAGATAGTATCCAGAAGTAAATTTTGTAAAAAAAAAATTCCATTTTTTCCGTATTTTACTTATAAATGGACATAGTTTTTCTGCCAGTTAACATTACATTCACTCTGTTGTTAAAGTTTTTAAAATTTTAACAAATTTCTTAAACTATCCTGGATTTGTACCAAACTTGGACAGAAGCTTTTTTATGATTAAAAGCTAGTATCTAAAAGGAAATTTTGTTAAAATATTTTTCCATTTTTTCCGTATTTTACTTATAAATGGACTTAGTTTTTCTTCCAGTTAACATTACATAACAGTTTAAGTTTTTATTTAAAACATTTATTAGATTCATAAACTATCCTGGATTTTTACCAAACTTGGACAGAAGCTACTTACAATCAAAAGATAGTATAGAGAGGAATATTTTTATTAATTTATTTCATCATTTTTGTTGAGCCTGTGATAAACAGCAGAAGTAGGCAAGACACTAGGTTCCGCGGAACCCTTACGAATTTTATAGTACATGTACCGTAAGTGCTAAATATTTAACCTATGTGTGACATGAAAAGTGTTCATGTATTGAGGACTTGTAGTCATACTTGACTTGTAAATTTTGCTGTTATTTCTAAAAATTAGAAGTACTTCTTATAAAAATTCAAATTTAACAATTATTCCTTTTTAAGATTAAAAAATGGTGCTTCATCAAAATGTGAATGTTGGGCAAAGGGTAGAGGTGAAAGTTCACAACAGAATTTACAGAGGAACAGTCAAATATAAAGGTGCTATTATTCACAAACCAGGAGACTGGGTAGGAGTATCATTAGAAAAACCAGGTAAGTTAAAAGAAAAGATATAAAGTGGGTCTTATTGGGGTCTAAGCGTGACCCGGGATTGCCGATTTTTTAAAAGCATGACACGTGAAAGTCAAATTATTGTACCGTGAAAACGGGAAATGAAGTCTAGCGGGACACGGGAACTTACAAAAAAATGATAATTGCTTACGTACATTTGTACATAGTGTAAGCGGGATACGGGAATCTGGCAAAACAGTAAGCGTGATCCGGGATCAGAACCCCTCAATGAGACCCCCTATAAATGGGGCAATCCAAAACCATAAATGGTTTTTGCATTCGATGATGTTACAATAGAGTCATAAATGTGTCAAAAACATCACAATTAAATAAAGGGTATTTTAAAAACCAAAATGACCTTCTTTTGGGATTTCTTCAGTTTTTGACTACTTGTTCAAATGTTGGTTTTTTAAATGATTATAATCCTGATGGAATTATGACCCAGTATTTTTTTTCAATGTTCAAACATCAGAATGATGAACTTGAAGATGAAAATATCTTTAGCGATCAATTTGTCAAAGTTAGTGCATGTACATGTACATTAAAACATGGTCTTGAAGATGGTAGTAATAAAAACCTTTACTGAATCAATACATATAAATTTTTTTGTAGTGTTAAATTATGAAATTCTTTATTTAAATGTCTTAATTTGAATGACAGAAAAAGACCTGATTACAGCTGTAAAAAAACTACCATAATGAAATAAATTTTACTTTAAGGGAGATGTTACGGTTTATTAATACATTAGGGTATACATTAAAAGATAAACATAATTTTGTTTGTTTATGTAATATACAACTAAGTATGACACGATAAACACATTTTTAGATTTAACTATCATTTCCTTTTATCATGCAATGTCATAGAGGTCCCTTTTCAACGAAGATCAAACACAGTTTATTAAGCCAGATATGGTCCAGTAGACAAGAGCTAGTTAAATACATTTGTACACAAATAGTTAAACGTGTCATTTTTTCATTTAAACATTTAATATATACTGTTATTATTTTTAAATGCATAGTCTTGACAGCTATATTTAATTTAATAGACTTTACAATGAGTTAACAATGACTGAATTATTAACAAACAATTTTAATCATGGTAATCATATGTCTTTCAATATATAAATTAGGAACTACTACACCTTGAAATAAAGTAATGTTCAACTCAAGTGATATCACTAATTTTGAGAGTAACTTGCAGAAAAAATGTGATTTTGATAGAAGAATACATGTAATCTTATCCAAACTAAATACAGTGAATACAGTATTTCTCAAATAACCTACAAAGCAAATACCACTTCATTAATTGTTCTTTTGTATAAAGCATGATTTAAACTATATAAAAGTTGTCGTTTTAAACAATGTTTGAATTTTTAGATATATTCAATAAACCTTTTATTGCCTTTTTCGTCAAGGTGAATGACCAAAGTCTCTGTTTTATTTAATTTATTGCAATTTTTAGCATTTTGTTTGTACAACAAAATGTTCTATTTTCCATTCAAAAAGTGTTCATATTTCTTATGTTTGTAAAAAGTAAATAAAATTGTTTGAATTACATATATAATCACAGTACATATATACATGTATATTATCCACTATTGATGGTTTAGTTTTAGGATATAAAAAACAGACCAGTTTCAGTCAAGATGTGAACCTTTATGGTCTTAAACTGAACTCAGTGGGAAGCTATGAGCTTTATTTGACGTGTCCTTAACATATGTTTTATATTTTTAATATATCTCAGTAGAACATTGATATCGCAAACAGAAACAGTTTGATGAAAATCTGTTCTCATTTTGATAGTGTTCTAGTTTTTTTTAGAAATTTCAAAATAGGGACTAGAAATGAATTCCACAAATCAACAAAGTTCCATAAATCAAGAGTCTACTGTATAAATTTAATTTTATTAATAATAAAAATTAACATCAATTGTAGTATGCCCAATGAGTCAAAATATTCTACATCCAATATGTTTTTCAAAGATTTAATATGACATTGTCCTATATATTTGACAGTTGAAGATTATTTGTTGACAGGTTTGTATACCCAGTTTTCTGAATATTAACAGACTATAAACACCTCAATGCTTATCAAATATGTATTTCCTTCCAAATCCTAGCTTTATATATGAACCTCATGTTTTCTGTCATGTCAGCTACCAGTAGAATCTCTGCTAACCATCAAATAACAAGAAGTATGGTGTAAGGCACTTATCCTTCATTACAAAACAATAAACAAACTTTTCGTGTATTAACTGACATGACTGGTACAGGATATTTCCAGTGAAACATTTTTTTATAACTAAAAAAAGCTTAGTTTTTGTCATGTCTGTGATTATGATTAATGTGGTACATGTAGTTGAGACATAAGATTACTTCTTCATCTTTCCAGTAACTGATGTTCAGGTGCTGATTCATTGACTTTTACTTTAAAATCACCCTTTTTTATTTAATAATATAGTGTTTCCTGCAGCTTTTTAAAAGGGCAGGGTATTTTTTTCTCAGAGGGCACTCCTGCTGCAATTTGCTACACTTTAAGGGCATCATTTTGGTGGTGGACTTTACTTTTAGGGCACCCATAATATAGATTTAAAAGCACTTTTATGGATAGGGAACAAGAAGATATACAATTCTATTTATTACTCTAGTAGATCGATGGCTGACCAGACTCTCAGCCATGTTTAGTGACTTTGGAATTGTAAATTTCAAATGATAAGTTTCAGGTCAATGCATTTAGGAAGAAGTACTAATACTTATAATTGATCTTTCATAGTCAACATGCTGTTGCATAACTAGATACCGTAAATTTCAGTTGCAAGCAGGAATTCTTTTCCTGAGTAATGCTACACTGTTTACTTTCCAACTCTTTAGTTTTCTGATAAGGTTTTTACATTTTTAATGAAGGAGTACTTATAATGACTGATGATATGTTTAATACTGTTCAAGTTTATGTAAAGTATTTGGATATTTCAAAAAGATGGTAATACATGATTTTCAGCAGAGCTGTGACTAGGTTGTACTCTGCTTACAATATGATGAAACTGATGTCCTTGCTCTGACTCACTAAAAAATAAGTTTTCATAATTGATCATATTTTGATAGATTTTTAAAAAGAATATTTACATTCAAACATGCTACCTGAAGAATAAATATCCTTTCCTTTTCTTATGCAGTGCATTGCATAAAAATTGAAACTCGCCTTTAATCTGCATGTTTAAACAGTTCTTACATTTTTGTCGAGCCTTCGACTTTAGTCGAAAAAGCGAGGCATAGCGATCCTACATTCCGTCGGCGGCGGCGGCATCCACAAATATTCACTCTGTGATTAAAGTTTTTGAAATTTTAATAACTTTCTTAAACTATCCTGGATTTCTACCAAACTTGGACAGAAGCTTGTTTATGATCATAAGATAGTATCCAGAAGTAAATTTTGTAAAAATAAAATTCCTGTTTTTCCGTATTTTACTTGTTAATGGACTTAGTTTTTCCGCCAGGAAACATTACATTCACTCTGTGGTTAAAGTTTTTAAAATTTTAATAACTTTCTTAAACTATCCTGGATTTGTACCAAACTTGGACAGAAGCTTGTTTATGATCATAAGATAGTATCCAGAAGTAAATTTGTTCAAAACAAAATTTCATTTTTTCCGTATTTTACTTATAAATGGACTTAGTTTTTCCGCCAGGAAACAATACATTCACTCTGTGGTTAAAGTTTTTAAAATTTTAATAACTTTCTTAAACTATCCTGGATTTGTACCAAACTTGGACAGAAGCTTGTTTATGATCATAAGATAGTATCCAGAAGTAAATTTGTTCAAAAAAAGATTTCATTTTTTCCGTATTTTACTTATAAATGGACTTAGTTTTTCCGCCAGGAAACAATACATTCACTCTGTGGTTAAAGTTTTTAAAATTTTAATAACTTTCTTAAACTATCCTGGATTTGTACCAAACTTGGACAGAAGCTTGTTTATGATCATAAGATAGTATCCAGAAGTAAATTTGTTCAAAAAAAGATTTCATTTTTTCCGTATTTTACTTATAAATGGACTTAGTTTTTCCGCCAGGAAACAATACATTCACTCTGTGGTTAAAGTTTTTAAAATTTTAATAACTTTCTTAAACTATCCTGGATTTGTACCAAACTTGGACAGAAGCTTGTTTATGATCATAAGATAGTATCCAGAAGTAAATTTGTTCAAAAAAAGATTTCATTTTTTCCGTATTTTACTTATAAATGGACTTAGTTTTTCCGCCAGGAAACAATACATTCACTCTGTGGTTAAACAGAAGCTTGTTTATGATCAAAAGCTAGTATCTAGACGGAAATTTTGTTAAAATTTTGTACCTGTTTATCCATATTTTACTTATGAATGGACTTAGTTTTTCTACCAGTTAACATTAAATACAGTCTACAGTTAAAGTTTTTAAAACATTTATTAGATTCATAAACTAACCCTGGATTTATACCAAACTTTGACAGAAGCTTCTTACAATCAGAAGATAGTATCTATAGGAATATTTTTATTGATTTTTTTCCTCATTTTTGTTGAGCCTGCGATTAACAGCAAAAGTAGGCGAGACACTGGGTTCCGCGGAACCCTTACAAATTTTTGTCTTGTCAATTCTTTTATACTGATCATTTTCTATGAATAACTTATGAGCACTTATTCTAAATTAGGTCTAATTTTTATACTAAAATTTCTTAACTTCACATATAAAATATATATGATCCTCTTTTGTAGATATTTTTGAATTTGAAATAAGTACATAATTTCCCTTTTTTTAACATTTGAATTATCAATTAAATTATTTTACTCTTGATCAACACTTAGTTACATTGTACATTCTGCTTTCATTATTTCAGTTGGAGATAATGATGGAATGTTAATGGGAAGAAGATATTTTCAGTGTAGCAATGGACATGGAGTTTTTGTCAGAGCCAATTGTATCAGATTTATTCCTCTGACTAGATGGTATGTAAAGTAATCACAGTACATTTAATTCCTCTATTTTTAAATTAAAAAAGGACAAATTATTTCTTACTCATTTACATTCATTTGGCATACACAGAATATACTAACCATGCAAATGGAAAAATCCAGATAACAATCAGAAATATGAATACTTAAAATGCCCCAAAAAGGATTTCTATGCATGGTATTATTTTTTTGTGATTCAGCTTTTAATAGACATTTAAGAGAGCTAAGTTTTATCTAACATTGTCATATATACTTCATTTTCAACTAACAATATATATACACTAGAATATGAATTATTTATTTTAACTTGATAGCTGCATCTATCAAATTTGAATTTTTATGCCCCACCTACAATAAAAGAGGGGCATTATATATCTGGTCTGTGCATCCGTCCGTTATTCTGTCTGTCTGTTCTTCCGTTCCATATAAAGTTTTTGGTCAAGGTAGTTTATAGTGAAGTTGAAGTCACATCAACTTGAAACCTAGTACATACATGTATTTTCATTTAAACTTCATTATGATGTGAACATTCTAAATTGTATGCCAAATTATGGTTTTGACCCCAATTTAATGTTTCACTGGACATGGAAATATGATTGTGTGGAACAAGTTCATTTTTAGGTTAAAGCTTTCAGTTAGGTAGTTTACAATGTAATTGTGGTCAGATCAAATTTAAGTTGAAAATTTGTACACATGATATGTTCATTATGTTGTGATATTTTTTAAATTATATACCAAATTACATTCCCCCCCATTTCACGGAACAAAGAAAAGGATTGTGCCAGCAGGGCTTGGTGTCATGTGGACGCATATTCGTATTAAGTACTAGGTTCTCAGATTTTTTTCAGTTCAACAGTAAAACAGTTGCAATACTTCGGTATGGTGATATTGTTTGTTACTTTAGTGATGTCTTCCATATGACTTGTTCAATGTCTTGCTTCATTTACTATAATTCTAGGACCTACAACAAATACCACAAAGTAGCAGACACAGCAGAGGTAGATGAGCCATTATTTTATTCATCTCCAAGTAAGTTTCTTTTTACTTTTTTTCCTCAATATATCACATACATATATGTCCCTAACATGTTTGGGGTTTTGTCTCACCTGCGATGAAAGTAGCAGAGTACAAGACTTATGGATGCTAATCCAGGGGGGCAGGTGATTGTGTAAAATATTTCTGTATAAAGCTTTGTATTTCAGAAGGTATCAGACCTTCTATACTGATTCCTCATGTTACAAAGTTATGTCTGTCATATGTCCATTGTCCTTGACCTCATTTTCATTGTTCAACAACCGTTTAAAAAAATGAATATTTGTTTTGTCATGTGAATTTTTCACTTATTCTGAGTAATAAGATACCTTATAATTGGTAAATGGAATCCTTGCAAGGACATTTTCCCTGAATCCATCAAAGTCTGGTCATTGTAAACAAACAAAATATAGGTATACATTAACCTTAACTAAAAACAAAACTTGTATTTTATGGTCTTCAGTCTTGTTACTATAATTATTTCAGAAGCAGCTGATCCAACAATGATATCAGAGGACATGGAAAGGAGGATGAAAACAGGTGCTTCATTTGGTGGTTAGTATTTAATTTTGTACATACCAGGGATGGAGTAATCATAATCTGTAACCATAATTGTCATGTCAGTGAAATTGATTACATATTCCAAGTAATCTACAGTAATCTGTAATCATCACAATTTTGGATTACACATATAATGCCACTTATTGAACAGGAAAACAACTATTTTTTTATATTTCTGGATGATAACTTGAGTAAGCATGTACTAAATCATTTGAAAATTGGGAAAGTTTTTAGAGTTCTCTGAACACAATCAGATTTCAAATTTGACTGACTTCATATTTCTTTTTTCTGGAGTTATTCCCCTTGATAATGTAAGAAATATCTCATCTGCTGGTTTCTAGGTGACATATTGAATTGCAATATCATCCAAAGCATCATACAGAAGATAGTTTATGTACAGTTTATTTTATGCATTATCTGTGCAAAACCAGGATACAGAATTTTCGTTAAATGTAAAAGTCCCACCCTTTCCTTCAGAAAAAGTTGGTATTACTCTTGCTTTAATATATTATAGAAGCATGGAGATCTCTTTCCGATGGACACATTAACTTTTTGGTTGTTTTTTTTTAGAGCGAAACCAGTTCTGTTAATTTTGTAATATTTTAAATGTATTCTTTTATTCTTAAATCTGTAAGAAAATAAATTTATAAAAGAACTTGGATGGTCTACTCTAAAGTAAAAGTACATCAGTTGATTCTGTAGTTATGAATATCAGTACCATAGGTATGGTATCAAAAAATGCGAAAATATACAAGTATTTAATTCAATTCATTTAGGAGAAAAGTAGTATTTTAATAACATGTTACATTTCAGATAATCCTTTCAGTAGAGCAAAGCGATACCCTTTAACACATTCAGTAGGGAATCGTATTCCAGCAGCAACAATGACCAGATCCATGACTTCCTTGAGTTACACAACACGTCCAATACATGCTGAATATGACATTGAAGATGATTTTATATCATACCCCTCAATACCCAGAACTCACATGCCTTACTCTGCACTACGGAATCAAGTAAAACGAGGCTGGGAAGGAGCACACTATGTAAGAGAAATGTCTGTAGGAACTGGAAGAGACTCAATGAAATTTAGTCAATGGAATGATGTTTCACCATAACTTTGTTTTAGTTTATATTCTATTATGGTGCACAGTATTATTTAATTGAAAATGATAAAATTTTATTCAGCTCACTAATGTTATGCTGCATGTATTTGATAGTAGACCTAGTCAGGAAAAATTTATTAAAACACGATTGTTAAAAAAACCCATTGATTTTGCACATTTTTTTTTTAAGAAAAATATTACTGATAACAAAAATGGGTTATATAAATCAAAATTGTGAGCATAAGCTTCTTTTATTTTTATCAATTTTAACTTTTTAAAATTTGCTTGCATTATTTGAATACTTTTATGGATAGTTTAGATCATGACTCTAATTGAATGGTCACGATAAATAAAATTTAATGGATTCATGGATTTGTGTAGGTGTATTCCAGGCAAAAAGGTTACCTGGATATAGTAAATGTGACGAGATTGCTCTTTTTCTAAATCCTACCAGGCATGCAAAAAAATAACAAATTTGAGAAACTGTTTTATAGAAATACTTTAAAAACTTATGAATTTTTCATTTACAGAACCTCTTTTCCCCCAACTCATTTTTTCTTATATTCACCTTAGTCAATTGAGTATTTCAATTATGAAAAAGAAACTATATAATTGAGTTATTGGAGTTCAAAGTACTTGAAAAGAACACATACCAATAAAATAACAATTTTGTCAACATTGTTTTGAATACTGGAGTCAACATATCTTAAAGAATATTAGGTTGTTGAGGCAGTTTTTAAATTTTCACTGGGAGGTTGTGTGAATTTTTCTTGTTACAATAATTGCACCTAAATGATTGCTGAAATTCGGTTGGATTTAAAAGAGGTTAGGAACAAAATTCACCTAAAACCTTTTGTTTACAAAAAGACCATATGTATTTGGCAAATTATAGATAAAGGAAAGAACTTGCTTTGAATGCAGATTTCATCCCAAAATCTGTACATTTAAACATTTCATTTTTTTTTTATTGCTATCCATAAAACAGTCACCAGAGACTGGTGGAAATCATTCATATCCTTAGTTTTAACTGGTGATTTTATTTTTTTTAAATTCACGAAATTAAGAAACTGGTCATATTTTCATATGTAACTTAAAATCAAACCACTTGTCTATTTATCTGAATCATAAATAAAACATCATTTATTTTAAACAAAAGTTTGCACCAAAAAAAATCTCCAGGGGCAATATTTTTCTCGCAACGTGAGGTAACAAATTGAAAATTTCAACATTGGCACCAACAGTGCAATTCACTACTATTACACTAAATAAATATGCATCAACGACATTAATAAAACTTGATAATTAAAATCATGATTATAATTAGCGTGACAAAGTATAGACCTGAGGGTTATGAAATAATTCTTGAGAAATCCCAAAATTAAGTGCAATTTTGAATTTATTTGGGTTTTGCATACTGCAGATGAAGAATTAAATGAGTTAGTATATTCGTGTAGCATTTTACTCATCAATTTAGCACAAGATATTTATGAAATAAAATAATAGTTTTATATTAGTTATCTTTGCTACTAAATTTAGAGACTAGTATTGATAAGCAAAAACTCGTGTATTTTTTTATGAATAGTATGAGGTCACATTATTCAAGGCTCACATTTTTATATGATGAACTGGTTAATGTCAAATGATTCAAGGCTCACATTTTTATTTGAACTGTTTATGGTGACATTATTCAAGGCTCGCATATCTACATGAACAGTTTCAGGTCACATCATTCAAAGCTCACGTTTTTATATGAACAGTTAGGTAACATTTTTATTAGCTCACCTGGCCCATAGGGCCAAGTGAGCTTTTCTCATCACTTGTCGTCCATCGTCTGTTGTCCATTGTCTTCTGTTAACTTTTACAAAAATCTTCTTCTCTGAAACTACTGGGCCAAATTTAACCAAACTAAGCCACAATCATCATTGGGGTATCTAGTTTCATAAATGTTTCAAGATTATAGGAGTTATTGCCCCTAAATGACAAATTTTACCATTTTTTTTTTCATTTTTGCCTATTATCTTGAAAACTATAATAGATAGAGAGAAACTTTCAAGTGCAAAAATGATCAGCAAGACAAGTTCTAAAAAAAAAAGTCTAATGTTTTAAATCGTCAGTCGACTCTTTATTAAGAGTTATTGCCCTTTGATATTTTTACCAATTTTTTTTAAGTTTTTGCCTTATATCTTAAAAATTATAATAGATAGGTAGAAACTTAAATAAGCAAAAATGATCAGCAAGACAAGATCTACTAACAAGTCAATTTTTGCCGATATAGTAAGTAGCAATCACTCTTTATTTGAGTGATTGCTCTTAAATTAGGATTTTTTTTACCCTGTTTTGTGTTTTGAGCAAAAACTAAAGAAGATAGAAAGTAACTAAGCAGTCTAAATGATCAGCAATACGAGACCAATAAAACAGAGATATTTGTCATGAATTCTGTTCTAGTCTACAATGTTGGAGAATGTCCTTTGTGGAATATGCTAATAGACCAATGTGAGCGACACAGACTCTTTAGAGCCTCTAGTTTTTAATCCTGTTGTATTTCAGTACAATATTTCTCTCATTTAGTATTCCTGACAATTTTGTTATGATTTATGTATGAAATACACACTCTACTTTAAATTTCTGTGATATAAACCTTTAATATTAAGGTTGGATACATTATGAATGTCATTATTTCATTATTACTTATGCTTAAAAATAAATAAATAAATACCCTTCAATACAAAAGTTTGAAATATATTGCATGCTTGGTATTGATTATATACAGACGAACATATCCAATTATCCATTTTAATTTAAATCTCAATTTACATACATTTGTGACATACAAACCTTGAAAATGTGGAACTTTGTTATTGTAATCATGTTATTCTTTCATATGGCATTTTCATCACTGTATATTTTTTATGGAGGAAGAGGGCGTGTACGTCTTTCAGTTTTGAAAATAACTGAGTTTGCAATATTTGTTTTTTGTACTAAGGTGGCAGAAATAAGATAAATAACATTGCTGTGATAATTTGTTTTTGATTTTTATTGTTCGGTTTACTTTTCTATCACTGTCAAGTACTGTTTTTAATTGTTGAAGTTTTCTGTATTTTTTTCTCTTTTTGACTAAGAATTTAAATTTGTAAATTTTTGCCGAAGTTTTATATTTATATCAACTACTGTAAATGATTTTTGGATGAATTGCACGTTTTGTATAAGATCTGTTTATGTGAGTTTTACATGTTATCTTGTTAATCTTATACCCTGATTTGAATAAGATTAGTGTTTACCAGCACAAGCTCCACAAGTAATTTTTTTGTTCTACCTCAATCAGCAGTGGTGTATCCAGAAATTTTCATAAGGGGAGCCCACTGACTGCCTAAGAGGGGACCTGCTCCAGTCATGCTTCAGTGATTCCCTAAATAATCAACCAATTTTTCCCACAAAAGGGGGGCCTGGGCCCCCTTAAATCTGCCTCTGATCAGATCAAAGCTTATCTCCTTGAATCAACTGATGGAATGCCTTTGTGTCAACATCATTCAAGAAGGACACTTTGACATAAAGAGACAGAATCAAAAAGAAACAAGAAAGGCTATTATCAGTTGCTGGAAAATTTTAAACAAGATTAAAATGGCAAAGGAGATAATTTATTCAAAAGCTTGGGTATATGACTTATAAAAGCATGTTGTTATAACCCCACTTGCCAAGTGTGTTGTATACTGGAATTACCTGGTCAGTATGTCTGTTTGTCCGTCAGTAATAATCGTAACAATTTTTTCAGCTTCTGTATTAAGGAATGATTCAACAATAAGTCTCGAACTTCTTGTTCAATGATACTTTTAACTTTATATTATACCCATTGAGAATGGAGTTTTTGTCCATGCCTAAATAAGAGTTTGGATGTAATATGCATGGCATAATCATGGTTATGTACAAGTTGTTTTTTTTTTTTTTTACTTTTATCAATGTTAACAGAATTTGAAGAACATTTTACTAAATATTTATGATCGTTAGAACTTTTTATAGAAATGTTTATTTTATACTTATCTTGTATTTTAGAACACTTGCTTCAATTATCACTTATTTATGATTAGGAAATAGTATACATTGATACTGTAGTCATTGTTATATATTCTACTGATGTTATTTATTTGTTTATAATATTGCATGTTTAAATGTTCAGAAAAAATAAACAGTGTTTATGTTTAAATTTTTATTTTTCAGTTTTAATGCAACATTGAAAATGACACAGCTTTGGGGGATCATATTTGATACCATAGCTTGTAGAGCTTCACTTTTTTAGGCCTTATACATCCTTGGCTTACTGGTAAACTTGTGGCTTTCTCTGTAGCTGCTTGTAACTTAGATCGATAGCTTCCTTGTGGGCAGTAACCCTCTTACATTGAAATCTTGACATGAGATACAGTTTATGAGATATTCCATGAAGTGATATATTTATTTCTCTAATTCTTCGTCAATTTATCCCTTTCTGCACCCATTGTATAAAAAAATTTAACCAACGTGTGGTTCGTTTGATCTCAGTTCTTCATTGGTTAAAATCCGATTATGACGTCGAATTTACTTGCTTTCCTCTGAATTTCCTATTGTGACGGCATGAAAAAAGGCGACAATGCCTGATGACGTCACATAGAAAGAACACATCTTTTTACAGATCATTCGAAAAGACGGAATACCTTTGCCTGCATATTGTTTGAAAATCATTAGAGAAACAGATTCCACCACCAAATCTCGTGTAATACGATATTTATCCACTCTCGACAGTTAAATTTTAAATATATAAAACGCTCGGCAAGCCTCCTGTTTTAAATTTGAAAATTTAACTGTCTCGAGTGGATAAATGTCGTATCACACTCGATGCACTGGTAGAATCTATATATATACTCCGCATGCAGATGCTACTGGAATTTTGATCCATTGAAATAAAAGTTTACAAGTGAAGGCAAATAATGTATTAATTGTTTTTTACCAAGAATATGAGTATGTATGGCCTTGATGTTACATATTTTTCAGCCATGATGGCCAACACCTTTGGACTAACTTACATGTGAAAAATCCTTTTTCGAGTTTCAAATGGGTTTCCAGAAAGATTTTACATTAAATTTACACCTCAAATAGTTGAAAATTCTGATAATACTTATTCTGTTTCAGTGGTTTTGTCCAGTTACCAATCCAATTTACGAAAAACAAATATGACAGACATAAACCAATGACAACCACTGAACTATAGGCTCCTGACTTGGGACAGGCACATAAAGAATGTGGCGGGGTTAAACATGTTTGAAGGTGCCAAACCTCCCCTAACCAGTGACAGTGGTGTAATGGCACAATTTAAAAACAAACTATAAAAATCAGCCTTCAACAAACGAGAAAGCAAACAGCCTAATTTATAACAAAATAATTTACGAAAAACATATATGACAGACTTGAACCAACGACTGAAGCACTGAACTACAGGCTCCTGACTTGGGACATATAGAATGTGGCGCATTTAACATGTTTGTGAGCGCTCAGCCCTTACCTTCCTTAACCTGGGACAGTTGTGTAACAGGACAACATAAGAACAAACTGTAAAAATCAGTTGCAATTGACTACCCCCAAAAGAACGGTAAAAGGCACAAAAGCAACCAACATAAAAAAATGACACAAAGCACCGAAATAAGTGTACTCGCTGTTACTTGTACTGAAAGAAGAAAGGGCACATCTAGTATTTTTTACTAGTAAGTGCAGCGATTCCGAACCCTTGAAATTGAGACAACTCTCCACCAGAGACCAAATGACATAGAAGTTAACAACTATAGGTAATCGTACGGCCTTCAACAGTGAGCAAAATCCATATCGCATAGGCAGCTATAAAAGGCCCCGAAATGACAATTGTAAAACAATTCAAACCAGAAAACTAACGACCTGATTTATGTATAAAACAATAAACGAAAAACAAATATGATATGCAGCAACAAACGACAACCACTGAATTACAGGCTCCTGACTTGGGACAGGCACATACATAATGTGGCGCGGTTAAACTAGTTTGCTGGGGCAAAACACTCCCCTAACCTGGGACAGTGGTGTAGCAGTACAACATTAGAACAAACTATAAAAATAAGTTGAAAAGGGCTTAACTCATCACATCGATACAAAGCAGAAAACATCTAACAAAAACACAGACCGGACGTGGCAGGGTATTTATACATCCCCACAACAAAAAAAGACACCAACTAAGAACAGATCTGAGAGTACTCTTAAGTTACTGACAGCTAGTTCAAAGTAAATAACAATTTATAAAAAAATCATGCACCTAAGACTAAAATATCAATCGGTACACATCAAATATCCAATGGATTTAGTGTAAAGACGTCATTAACAGTCAAGAGAAAAACATGACCTGATTTGCCGATTTACGAATTTACCTGAATTCGATTCATTTTTACTTGCACCGGCAGTTTGAGCGTGACACATACAATATTCATAAAGTGTAGGAGCTTTAATTTAAATCAGAAACAACAAATGTTTCGTAGCGAGTACAAATAAGTTTGTTTTTGAATAAAATCGATATGACTTAAACGCGGACTACGATGAGTACCCAAAATTAAACTGTGATGTTAACAGTAATTTGGACAAAACCTTTCGCCTGCAACAGAAACAGGAGACTATAAACGTATAGTTTACATACCCAAGAATGAAGGACACTAATGGCCGATTACCCTTATCAGCGACACCCGGGGTGCAATGTTTTTAATGATGTTCGATTAACATAGAAAGTAATGGGAAAATAAATGGGTACCCTTCATTAATTCTTCATATTATTTTTATTGATCATCTGAATTCTTATTAACACATACGACCGAATTCTACATAGATTTACCTTTCTGGTGGTATTAAAAAATCCAATTTATCTCATCTCATTGTTAGGTCTCCGATTTTTTGAAATTTCATTATCTAAATTCCCTTACTCACATCAGTAAATATCGATGAATTACCTCAAAAGAAACGAGACAGCAGTAACTAAAAAAATTGAAGCACACTTAATATGCGGAGGAAATACTATTAACACATACTGTTGAATACTCCTGTTAATAAGCTATATTTTGATGTCAGAAAAGTCCGTTTACATTAAGAAATTCTTAGGTCTCCGGCGTTTTGAAAAGTTGTCTTTGAAAAAAAATAACCAACACAAATGTAATATACGAAAACAACTTACATTAGCGAGATCATACTGTTAAATTTCGGTTATTCTTAAATAAATGAAATAATACATAATAATTTCAAATTCAAAGTGTTTACTGCGGCTATTTTTTATTGTTCAAATAGAAACGAATACAAAATAAAATTATATTTAATTATATTAAATTGTATTCGTCGGGATAACTCATCTGTTCAAAGGACATAATGGAGTTTTACTATAAGGATTCTTGTTCATGATAGTTCATAGTTCGTATAATTTCATATAATAGAGACTATAAAGATATTTTTTATTCATATTTGGTGAAACGTATTTAATGATAAATGATAAAGTATACATTTACATTTAAATAATAATAAACGATTCGCTGTTTCCAAATTTTTTTTTCACCCGTAAAACATTTTTCCATCATTTGTATTTCGATAATATTTAAAGAAAATGAAAAGGTGGTATATTAAAAAAGTTCGAAATTGATATATTGTCAAATGAATTTTATTATCAGCAGGCACCCTGTCGCTTGATTGTCTTTCCTATCTCCAATTACGATGTCTTATATATGCTCAACAGGATGCCACTGTTTGTTTTATTAGATTGAATCTGATACAATACAACTTGTGTTAATTGGTGACATATGTACACGTAATGAATGTATGCACGGTTTGTTGTGGAAGTATCATCCTGTAATGACATTACATCAATGTGGTGGAACTATTAAAACAAATTTGAGAACTCGAAAACTAATGCAAAAAATCTTTCAAATCACTCTTTTTTAGGGAATCGTGTTCCTCGCTCTTTAGTTTGACCATGGAAGTAAATTGATTAGTGTTATCTATATATGTATAGATAGTTTAATTTGCTGCTTTTATTTTTTTATTTCTTCTTTTAATTTGTCATTTTCTATATATATGTTTTTTTAATTACTTAATGGTACAATACAAAACACATGTAAGTTGTCTCTCGGTCATTTTAGAAATACACTGTTCAAAATGTTCTTGTGTGAAAAAATGTAACGCTTACAACACATTGAATGTTGGTTTCTGTTATAATGATGAATGTGTTGTCATTGTAAATGAATATTAAAAAGCCGATTGCTGAAGACCTGGTGACAAGTTTTAATCTTATGCACAGCACAAGAAGCCCTTCTTCGTTGATATTTTGGGGTTTCCTTGTATTTCAAAACACCTTTTGTCTGGTGCATATGCCACGACTCATAAAAACTAACTTATATTTATTAATTTAGTTTTGTCCGACGAATTTGTGTCCCTGATTTTTTTTAATTTAAATTTTCGATCTTTCTTGCTTTGTGGAAAAAAAATCTCAAACAAGAAAAATGTTTCCCAAGTTTTTATAATCAATTGTTCATGAACAATGTAAATTGCTTTTTTTAAAGGCGATTTATTTATTAAAGACAAACTATGAATCGCATAAATGAGCTTTGATTTAGAAACGACATCAAAAGATCAATGTAGGATAAAAAGCTTAATTCAAATAGTTGGGGGGGGGGGGGGGGTAAAAATTGCTGCAAGTTTTGTTTATTTGCCATCGATTTTACATTTATCCATATTGGTCAATCAATTTTTCCAAAATTAAGTTAAGAGGGGGTGGGGGTCAGTGAAAAAACTATGTTAATTAAGTTTGTTTATCCTACATTGAACTTTTGATGTCGTCCCTTATTGTGGTGAATTTTTATCCGAGACTTAATTCAGGCAAATTTTCTACCTTTCTTGCACTGTTGAAAATAAGGACAGAGGGACATCAGATATAAATACTGTTAGTATTAAATTGCACTGATAGCAGTTAAGAAAATTTTAGATAAGTGAAAATAAGTTGAAATATGAAAGAAAACGTTCAAATAAGAATTACACCTAAACACACATAAAAAGAGAGACCCACTATAAAAGCGCTTGCGACCTAACTCACTTCATGATGATGTCTTTAGTTACTACAATTGATAAATCTTCACTTATCAATCAGAGAGAGAGCTCTACTTAACAATATCAATTAAAATATATTTTAACTGTTGAATGACTTATTCTTCAATTATTTAGTCTTAGAATTTATATCTTTAATTTTCACCAATTGTCTAAATTTGATTTATTGAACCTTTTGTCTGCTTACGCCTTACCTAACTAAAGATGGTTGAGATATGTTAAGCCGTTTTTACATAAAACATTTAAAAAATGAAAAACATCTAGCTTGTAAGTTATTTCTTCAAAGACATATATATAGCATTATATTTTAAAGCAAACTTATTTGTCCAAGGCATAAATGAATGATTGTACTGAAATGAATGAATATATATAGCATATTGTCAGAAAGCTGGACAAACTTGTATTTGCTAGTATTAATATGTTTATAAAAACACGGCTGATATTATGTCATATAATTTCATTACTAATGGTGATTAAACTGCAATAAGCTACGGTTCGGTACCAATTTCGTCGTCAGCTCTGTTGCATAAGGACAAATGAAAATATTAAATTTCTTGGTAACAAGGATGTCATATAACCTCCTAGATGGTATTTTTTAAGATACATGAACATCAAAACTCATGAGATACGTTTTATAACTGTTTGTTAAAAAATGTCATTCAAGATCAATTAACAAAAATTATGGATTTTTTCCCTAATTTTTCAAAATAATTTCCCCTTCGCACATTGATTTATAATCTCGACGCGGTTTTGATCTCAATATCATAGTCCTTTTAAAGACCACTAACTCAAGTATCGTAATTTATAACTCCCGTGAAGACGCTAATTAATTTATAATCAGAGACATGTCTCTGTTGTATTAACAAGATTAGTAAATGCAACGACATCTATTGGAAGGAGTTAAGAGTTATCGTTAATTATCTACTGTCCAATATAAACAGATTGAGTTATCTCGCTTGGAAATGTGACATATTCTTGCACATGATCGCTTCGTGCTAATTGTACACCTGTATTTGTAAAGTAGAAAGGTTGATTGCCGGATAAAAAGATATAATCAACTGGAATAATTAGTAAAGAATTATAATGAAGAAAGAATGTAACATATTAGCGCTGTACACAAGACCTTTTACCTTCTCTTTCATTTTTTTTTGTTCATGTGAATAATCTCAACAGCATCCGAAAACATACTCCAAAACTTAAATATTAAGTGAAAACCCGTTTTCTTTAATGATTGAATGAGAGGTTCAACTTGCGCTGGAAAGATATCTGCAGGTTTCAAGGCTCCGTGTTGAAGACCATACTTTGACCTATAATGGTTTACTTTTATAAATTTTGACTTGGATGGAGAGTTGTCTCATTGGCACTCATACCACACCTTCTTATATCTACCTACCTGACGACTTTAAATACGTTGTAAAGATTGTCATAAATCTTGAGGAATACCTTCGAACTGATCAGTGCTACACCATTGAAAAGGGAGTTTACAAAGAGGACGGATAATCGGAGCCAAAGTACACAAGTGTAAATTTATGCTCTAACTTGCACGATTAAAAACAATCCAGTTAATGTTTGCCTTAAGATCAGCCGGTATAAATACCAGTTTTTAAGTTAGCCTCTATATATGATCTTGACCACCTAACTTGATGTTCAGTTATACAATTGCTGATCAAAAGTCAGTGTATATTATACCTTTGACTATCTGATTTGAAATGTCGAATTATTTCTTTTTGTCAAAAAAGACTTTGGTCATGTCAGTAGAATTTGAACAACCACTGCTGGATGAGATACAATAAATATACATTGAACATATTTCCGACGCTGGTTGATAATTAGCCGTATGAAAGCATTTCAAAATTGGAAAACCTGCTATTCTGCATCAACATGCTGGATAAACACTTGAAGGACTATCATGTTTCTATAATGAATCCTATAGTACTCAAATAGTATAAGTCCTGAATCCTTCAATAACAAAACAATCCATTATGATTTCATATTGTTTTGTATGTAGAGGAAGATATAATCTTATCCTTTTGTTTGTGAAAAGCAGATAAATCTATATGAAAACCAGCATTTTAATACATACTATAATCAATATTTCTTGAAGCCGTTTAATTTCAACATCTGTATGAGCACTCCAACCCAATGCTGAACATGAAAAACTGCACTAGCCATCAACAATTTTCCCAATTAAAAGTTTCAGTATAATATTGATATTTTCTGCACCCTCCTCTATAAAATTACCTCCATTCTTCTTTCTACAAAGTCCATTAAATCAAACCAAAACGCCTTTTTTCATCATCCCATCAAAAGAGAGGCGAAAGATACCAAAGGGACATTCAAACTCATAAGTCGAAAATAAACCGACAACGCAACCAAAGAAAAAAAATTTGGGAAAAAATCAACTGCAATAATTTGCCCCCTCTTGCGACCTATCATTTGTGCCACAAAAAAAAACCATAATGATATGATTTCAAAACACCCACACATATTCATTGAATTTGCTCGAGATCCAAAGTTCGGAAAAACCAAAAAAATATAAAATGTTTGTGAACTTAAAAGCCAAAATGGGCATGAACAAAGCAGCAAAAACAAATGTGGTGCAATAAAGATTAAGTGACTACATATAGAAGCATGTATTGTAATCACTCTAATGAGTGAAGATTTGAATGTGCGGATTCCACCAATAACCAATTGATAACCTGTGACTTAATAATAATGCTTTTTAAAATGTTATCTCCATCTGAGAAGTCCGTGATTCGGAACTAACATTTTTTTTAACATATTATTCTTAAATTCTCCGTGTATACATATAGAAATTGTTATGAAATTCAGGTTCCAGCCTCCTGGTAAAGTTTACCTTGAGTGGATGTAACTACTAGTATTCCTTTTGGGTGCCTTTTGATCATATTACCTCTAGAATATTCAAGTATTTATACATCTTTGGTTTTCCAATTTTGGGGTTTGAGCGTTCCTGTTGAAGGTAAATCAAGAAAAACGCTTCTGACTCAACAATTTATTATTTGTTATGTTCATTTATAACTAATTAATGTACAGTATGCGAGGCTCCATGTATGTAAAGGGGTTCTTACAACAACTTTTCAGTATGAGAGGCGTCCGTTCGGATATGCAGAATATATATATAGATAACTACGTCCGGTTGGCGACGTCATAAAACACCCCTTAACTGGTAGTATGGTTTGAGATGTATGAAATTGTTTGCGGCTGTCTGCATACCAGAGCCCTTACAAAAACTCTTACTGAGTGCCCAGGTACATGGGATATATATATATATATATATCTATATATATATAAATTGCGGTTTTTATCCAACGCAATCATAGGTTTGAACGTTGTTTTCAATTTAGACTTGTTTATATTTTTTCGTTTGGGCTTGTAATATATTTGCCTTCGGGTTTATATGATCCGTTCATCCTATTTCGACTCTTTCAAAATTCAAGAGTCGATCCTAAATTGAGGTAAATTATATGGCCTTCCAAATACCGTTTCGATTCCTAATATCACTGAAGAGACATTAATTGTCGAAATCCGGATATGGTGTACAAATTTTTGCACCTCATGTTTGCGGTATACCATCTTTTCCGCAAGTTTATTGTTTTCTAGTTGGTAATAAATTATTATAAGATCCATTTTATTACATCTGGTGATCCGTTTATTTGGCAATCGCCAAAGGCAGTCAGCAGGGTTTAAGAACATCAGTTGTTCGACCTGCTAGTCAAATGCGTTTTGTTAAAATATACTTTTTCACTTTTTTGGTCTTTTGGAAAATTTTGTTTGTGCTGTTTTAAGACCCCTCTACCGAGAAATTTGTTTTGCATGCACACGTATAAAAATAGCGGTTTTTATCCAACGCAATCATAGGTTTGAACGTTGTTTTCAATTTAGACTTGTATATAAAAACCGCAATTTTTATACGTGTGCATGCAAAACAAATTTCTTGGTAGAGGGGTCTAAATACAGCACAAACAACATTTATATATACACGATCACACGTGTATGGTTAGATCCCCCTAGAGTAGCCATGTTTCGGATTTTAATGTAGCGTTCATTTCTCTGAACTAGTATGTATACATTATTGTTTAGGGGCTAGCTGTGGAATTTTCCGCTGCGTTGAACACCCATTGGTAGCCTTGATCGGGTTCATTCATTTTTTTAATTTTATAATTATTCCTCAGTTATTCGTACACTGATAATTCTCTGCTTCAAACGAAAGATTAACTTCTCTGATTTAATTAAAAATCAAACGATTTGAATATTTCATAGCAGTTGAACCATTCTTTGCTTACATTTATTTTTCATATTTTGTCATTTTTATATTGACGTGTCTTGATATCAATATCCGTCTGGCAATATTTCTACATTTTACGTTCTTTGCAAATCATTGGAAATCTTGTAAGCATTTTAGTTACCAAAATTTCACAAAGGAATGCGGCTAAGTCCAACATTGTTAATATTAGAAGCATAAAAAATCTTGACCTTCAAAAAGGGTTACCCTTAATCTATCTTAAAATTTTCATACTTAAATCAACGAGGTGAGAAAAAGGATTTGAAAATGGTATCTAGCGAAAACATGTTATTTTCGTTGTTTTGTCAAATACTATACTTATTATTGAAATATAACATAAAACAAATCAGAGGTCATGCACTGTGGTGTTCAGTACTCTCAATTTGCCCTTGTTATTGAAATACAACATATATAAACGAATAAAAGGTCATGCACTGTACTATCTAGGAGGAAGCCATGACATAAATACCAACAACAACCATACTGATAACATATTGACGTCTATGAATCAAAGGAATCCGGATTTATACACCTTAGTTCTATAGACATTCATATTTCACGAATGAATGATACTTTTATCTATAAATAGTATAAATAGTAACCCCGACCAAGGGAAAAGCCATATGTTTCTTTGATAAGACACACTGAACTTTCAACAATCTCACTTCACGAAAGAGACTATCGAGATGAAGTCAATAATTTCCGTTGCTCTTGGACTGACCCTATTGGGTCTACTTAAGGCCACACCACTACCAGAGGTATTTTAGATATTTTCAAATAACGTTCTTTTTCACTGTTTTGGTCTTTTGCGTTGTGAAATAAAAAAAGATTATACAAAGACGGGACATTTATTTTTAACTTGACTGAATAAATGCTTCACATTTTCAGGCACTAAGATAACGCGTGGGAAAATGTTCGTAAAACGGTTGTAAAAGTTAGGTAATTCGAAAATACTAATGAAAAGACACAAAGAAAATGCGGAATAGTCAAAGAATCTACAGACTTGATAAAAAGACATGTTTAAGATAGGGTTAGAGAACAGAATACATAAATATATAAAACAAAAGATTATATCTGACCCCAAATTGAACAATACTCATGGTGTATAATTGAATATCAGATTCCTAATTATGCTTATATAAAACATTCACTGTAATTATTGTTTGTTCGTATTTCAGGTCCAAGTGGAACTTCTTGGTAACGTAGTTTTTACTCTTTTAACACGGAGAAAAAAACAATATAGATACACTCGTACTGATTTGTAAAATATCTTTTCCTTGGAATTTCGAAAAGTGAGACCATGTACGGGGCGCCGAACGGGACTCTTGTGGTTTTGTACTCGAAATTCAATTTTGTACGGACGAAAGTGAAATTTGTTCAACAAAAATCAGTTCAGTTTAACAAAATTTGTAGCATACTACAAATTTAAATTTTGTCATACAAAATTATCTTTCAGTGGACAAAAGTTACTTTTGTCATGACAAAATTTATTTTTGTATCATAGACTCTACTTTTGTTACCTAATTTAAAAATTGGGCGACAAAAGTCAATTTTGTATGCAAATTAGTTCAGTTTGGATTCTGTGAACTAATTTGCATACAAAACTGAGATTATGTCACAAAATTCAATTTTGTGTTTATTTTTGTGTAGACAAAATTCAGTTTTGTTAAACAGAAGTGAATATTTAACAAAAGTCAATTTTGTGTCACAAAAGTCATAAAAAAAATCACAGGATGCTAATTTAATCAACATGTTAATTGCGCACAAATTCAATTTTGTCTCACAAAATTGACTTTTGTGTTTTAATTTCCATATCAGGTAACAAAAGTCAATTTTGTATGCAAATAAGTTTATATTTGCATACCTATTTTGTCATGACAAAAATGAATTTTGTCTACAAAAAAAAATGTTGTCATTACAAAATTGAAGTTCTCATAAAACAAGTCTCTATCACATAGTTTTGTAAGACAAAAATGATTTTGATATGACAGAATTGAATTTTGTGTACACAAAATTGATTTTGATTACAAAAAGTTCAAGTCCCATTCGGCGCCCCGTACCATGTCCCAAAATGATTATTTACTTTTAATTGATAAGCATTCTAGAAATATAAAATATATGTTTTGATTGTTTACACAACTTAAGTCTCTTAGATTTTCGTAATTACCACAGTATTGTATATATTTTTTTTCATTTTGGCATACATGTATTTCATTCAACAATTCATTGTTATCTTTTTTCCAGAAAGCCCTGTAGACAATCCAGAAGAAACTGAAGGTAATGTTAATGTACGGTTTAAGTTCTAAAACTAGCAAAAGACCAATAAAACACTGACTAATTCAGTACTATACCTGGTTTTGTACGATTTGCCATGCTGAAAGTAAATATAAAGAAAATGTGGTATAATTGCCAATGAGACAACTCTCCACCAGAGACTAAATGACATACAATTTAACAACTATAGACCACCGTACGGCCTTCAACAATGAGCAAAATCCATCTTAAAAAGCTATATTAGGATAGCAATGCAAAATTCAACACATACTTCTGAAATCTAAAAATAAGGAATCTTGAAATTACTTTTATTTCATATACTATATTTTTGTAAAAAAAAAAGGCAAGCTAAAATATAGTTACTATTAGAATTACATCATTTAGTAATACATTTACAATCTGCCTTTATTTTATATTTTAGGTTTCTTTGAAGGTGATATAGAACTAGATGGAGAGGTTTGTTACTCAAATGTTAAAGGAATTCTTTATCTTTTACCTCCAGGAATGAGACAGTTGAAAAAAAACGTCAATGAGACAATGTATATTTAACAGGAGAGAAATTAATTTAACATTATTGTTTAATCACCGGAAAAATCATCATTCCATATAGTTAGGGTACAAATATATGTGTTCATAGATTAATTTCTTTTTAAATTAAATTGATTTAACAAATGTAACGATGCAGAATTTTGACTTACCCACTTCGCTATTCCGTGTGTTTATTAGAGGTTATTTTTTTTATTGACAAACACGAATAAAAAAGTACCAATGTTTCAAAAAACTATCTTTAACTGTTCATTTTTTTTCACAATTCGTAATTATGCTACTGTTTGACGTTTTCAGACTAGAAATGCAGTAAATACTCATTATTACCGAAGTGCTACATGGCCTAATGGTATTGTTCCATACCAAATTGACTCACACTATTGTAAGTTGCTGGTTTGTTTTAGTCTATTTTTACATCTTAAAACTGGTGTGAAGTGTAAAGGTGCCCAAAAGGTACAGTTTAAGGACATTGGTGCGTGATTGTGTGTATGAATAAAAGGAGACAGTAACCAAACAACACAAAATATTAACAGACATCTATAATACGGTCATCAACAATAAACAAGTGTTTATGAATGCTATATGTCAAGCTATAAATCGCATCTAGTAGGAAAAGTTATGAATACTTGTAAATCAAACTAAACAATATCTGCATTAATCACCAAATTCCCTAAATGATGAAAATATTTTTGAATACTGACGAGATTTGGTCACGAGTTAGCCAGATCAGAGTTGTTCTAGAAATGGGTGTTGTATCCAAGAGCAGGAATTGTGTATTACAATTAGACGATAATGCCTATCTAACCCTATCTATGCTAAATGAGGCATATACAAGAAACCTTTCGTCGGCTCGGGGTATCGACAACTTATAAACATAAGCGTATCTATGTTATTTACAATGATATAATGTGTACAAATGAGGCCTATTCTAGAGACCTTTCGTCGGTTCGGGGTTATCGACAACGTATAAACATAAGCGTGTCTATGATAATTACAATGATATAGTGTGTACAAATGCGGCCTATTCTACCGGCTCGGGGTATCGACAAATTATACACATAAGCGTATTTATGCTATTTATAATGCTATTGTGTTTACAAATGAGACATATACTAGAGACCTTTCGTCAGCTCGGGAGTATCGACAACGTGACGGCGTGCACAATGCTGAGTCCACAAACGTTAAAATGTTTAATACACGGCTTAATTCGGAGCATGAATACATTTTTAATCATAGTCACAAAGAAGTGAAATTGGACCTTAACTAAATAAATACAGATATATTTAAAGTATTTCAAACTTTATTGTCTCATTTTTTAAACTTTTATTTGACTGTTCACTCATCAAGGCAGCGCAGTATACTTCTGTGGAGGGAATTGTCAATATGAATTGTTCCATAGTCACCAAGTTCAAGTTCCGCCAACATATATACACTACAGAAAGCGCAGGAACTATAGCGGGAATACGTTTTATGAGTTTTTGTTCAAGTGGATTGTCGTTTACCATGCCAAAATAATATCCATGCATTACTTTTGTTCCGGGTAGATAGGCAATCCCCCATTTGTCCGTTGACTGTTTGCGTAGAACAGTCGTCTGTTTGTTGGCTTTTCCTAAATAATAAGGCTGATTAACATCGTCTGCTTTAACAGCAAAAACTGTGCCGATAGAAATAAGGTCGTAGAGTTGTTCAATTTCATCCGCGATTTCTTCATCTTCTGATTCCTGATCAGCGTTTTCTTTAATCATTTTTAAAATTGAGAAGTTACCAATTTGATCAACATTCAAGCAATCGTTGTAATCTGTGTTTAACCAATTTTCACACGTGTAGCAGGACAGCTTTCTAATTTCTACTGTTGCTGATTTCGAAGAACATACCTGGTGAATTTTTCTGTTCTCTTTTACGGGTTTGAAATATCGATCACGGTTTCGATTAATCGTATCTATGTATCGAAAAATCCTACGTGAACATTTCGAATCCTCAGCAGTTTTGCAAAGATTTTCTGATGCAAAGTCATATAAATCTCGTGCACTTTGTATCACACGCTGCCCACGGATGATAGACAAGTCGGCTTGCTTTTTGATAAAACCACCGGCTGCATCTTGAGGTCCACGAGCATGTGAAGTTTCAAAAAAATTCCTAACAATTTTGTCATATCCTAAATCGGAACATCCATAATTGATATCTCCTATGCAGTGACGACTTTTATACTGGGCACTACACCCGTCGGTAAACACGTGCATGACAGACACATCGCATGATATCGATATTAAGTAATCACGAATTAACTTCTGAACCTCATGTGTAAAATGGTGATCATGCTTCTGGTCCGGACTGATTACAAGAAAATGTTCTGTAATAATGTTTGGGTAATTTTCATTACTATCTATTCCGTCATGTAATCCAAAATCGCGTGTCTATGTAAAATTGCCACATGAATAGAAACTTCTTGTTTTTGGAAAAGACTGGATTTCACACTGTTCTGTGCATTTATAGTTTTCGGAGAAATCATGGATTGCAACACAATGCGTGACTAGTAAATTGTTAATCAAAGTTTTCATTTGTTTTGACTGCCAGTAAGCTCTAAATTAGTGGGAATAAAAATTCGCAAGTAATAGTTTCATATAATCAAACATGCCACATGACTAAGAGCTTTTCTTTACAAGAACAAGCTTTCTAACAACTTTGTCTCCTTTTATTTTTACATTTTGATATTCATACCGTTCCCATGAGGCCTCGACCGCTCCTTTTTTGTCCAATTCCTCTGGTAAAAAGTCAAGTTTGTCAACACCACACTCCGTACATTCCCGATTTAAACTAGACATTTTATGTTGGTGGGTATTGGCAGATCGGGGACATAATGTTGCATCAACAAGTTCATGTAAGGAGCCATAAACAGAAAACGAACAATTTTCTTTCGATATTGCTTGCATGACTTAAACAGACTTTTCATCTCAACATGTTGCCGACAACAACATGTAAGTTTATCTTTGTGAGTAGCCGGACGAACGTAATAAGGCTTACATTTTTCAAAAGCACGCTAAAAATAGTTGGTTCTTAATGTGTTTTTGCATATATACGTTTAACATTGTATTAAATGGCATCAATTAGTATGGCGAATATTTCTCTCTTTATTTGTATAGCATCATCAGTAAGAAACACATACTTACAAGCCATGAAGGAAATTGAAGAAGATACAAAAGTACATGGAAAAACATGTGTAAAATTTGTGCCCAAAACAAGTCATCACCACGATTACATATATATTTTACCACAGACTGGGTGAGTGATAGCACATCAATCCATTTCAGAAAATAGAAAATACCTCATGAAAGTAGTATTTTAAAACGTCATTAGACATGATATTGGAATGTTAAGAGTAGCCGTTCATTTTGTTATTATTTGAACCGTAACTATTCACGGAATACGACATGAAAGCAGGTATCATTTTCTCAATCTCTACAAATCACCAGGCTGATTTGCATTCGCATGAAAATTCTTTAATGTTAATGACTACTTTTAATTTGTAAAGATAATTTGTTATTCAAATTCGTATATTTTAGGTGTCACTCTCCGGTCGGTCATCACACTGGCAGAGGTCTGGTATCTTTAGGACATGGGTGTGAAAGGCAAGGAACTGCTATGCACGAATTTTTACATGTTCTAGGATTCTGGCATGAACAAAACCGATATGACAGAGATAAATATGTAACAATCAATTTAAGTAATGTTGTATCAGGTAATTATCTGAATATATTGTCTGGCATCGTAACATTAAAATGACAAAGTAAACATCATGTTTTACAATGATGCTTCTATGTTAATATTGCTTTAATTTATTGGTTTTCTAACATCACAGCCACTTTGTGTGAGATTGATAAAAAAAATGATTATCTCGTAATTACGAGATAGTTTTCTCGTTATTACGCGATAATTATCTCGTAATGACGCGATAATTATCTCGTTATTACGAATTAAAAAATGATTATCTCGTAATTACGAGTAAAAAAATGATTATCTCGTAACTACGCGATAGTTTTCTCGTAATTACGCGATAATTATCTCGTAATTACGCGATAGTTTTCTCGTAATTACGAGATAAATATTTTTTTTTTTGTGACCCTAATTGGCTTTCGTACTTTCGTATGATTGTAATAATAATAATAATAATAATAATAATTAACATATATGATTTTTTTTTCTGATGTTTGCTTACACATGTAGAAGTTTCATAAATGTAGGCTAAGGGGGCTTTTAAGAATGATAATCATTGTTTAATATATAAAATAAGAAAATAATGTTTATATTTTCAGCACAACATAAAGACTTCAAAATCCACACAACACATGATATGACAACTTTTGGTGAACCGTACGATTTTGGATCTATCATGCACTACGGACCATACTCATTCGCTATCGACAAATCAAAACCAACAATCATACCAAAACATTCACCAGGTGCAATTATGGGTCAGAGGTTAGCTCTTTCAAGAGAAGATGTAGACAAAATACAAAAACTTTACAATTGTGGTCAAGGTAAACATGTATTTAATATATATATATAGGTCACTAGCCTATCCATTATTGTATAAAGAACGGAATTTCAGTGAACTATAACGACCACTGAGTACTATCCAGAACTGCGATATGATACCATAAATGTTCGAAATACTAAGTATTTTCTACCTCAGGAATATATTACCTTAGCTGTAGTTGGCAAAACCTTTCGGAATGTTAGGTTATCAATGCTCTTCAACTTCGTACTTTATTTGACCTTTTTAATTTTTTTATTCGAGCGTCACTGATGAGTCGTTTGTAGGCGAAACACAGGTATAGCCTACAAAATCATAAACCTGGTATATTTGATGAGTTTTTTTTCCGTAATACAAAAAAAAAGGAAGAGTTCTCGTACTTGCAACAATTGGAATTATTATTATAACCAAAATCACCAAACGATATAGAGTTATTTCATTAACATTTATTATTCTGTTTCAGATCTTACTCATATTGCTACTCCAGTAGAACCAAGTAAGGCAAACATTTAATGCATTTATTTATTTGTATACGTTCATACATCAACGAATGTCTATTTTATTTTTTTTGTATCTACTTGGTAATAATTGCCAGTGATTATTTGGCGACTTGAACACTTTCATAAAAAGGCGAGACAAGATCACAGTCAAAGAAAAAATGTCAATGACAAACAGTCCACTGAAAGACAGCACAGAAAAAACCTAGTGGAATACTGTAAATTTAGAAATTATTGCGTACATTTATTATTCGCTTCGCATTAATAAAAACCTCACTATAATTTGTAAACTTACAGTAACCATACTTAATAGCCAACACATATAACACCACGAATGGTCCATCAGCTCCAGTTAAATAATTGGCACTAGTGATATAATATTAAATTCTGAAACTAGAAGAACTGAAAATACGATTAAGCTGAATAGGGTCGTATGTGATTTATACATTTAACATTATCATATCTGAGACGGTTGTTTCATTATAAGCATCAATCATTTTTCGTGAAAATACTGCTGCTGCAGGTTTTTTGCTTTTTTTGCAGTGAAAACATCTAGTAAATTCGGGTCGCAGCCGGTCTTACACTGATATATACTATTTTTTTTTTGCAACTGGTCAGTACTATAATTTAAAATATAGTAAAACTATTGAAACAGATTTCTACAGATGAGCTTAACTTATGCTATCTCAGTTCTACATGAACACTTTTGGTTCCAACGCCAGATGTATTTTTTAATAGCTAGCACTTCATAAAATCAAAACAGTGTTTGTAAGAAAATAATTTAACACTTTTATTACTTTGAGTATAAAAACATTACACAGCAATAGAATGGTAAAATATTATCCACATGCTTATTTAGTTATCTGGTTACTGTTTTCAGTCTCGTTTTTTCCTTTCTATATATGTTAATAGTTGTTGATTTGCGTTACAGCTCATCTCGTTGAATGTGACTTTGAACATGGTATTACAAGTGGTAAATGTAATCTCGAACAGTTACATGATGACCAATTCGACTGGACATTGAAAACTGGTCCATCTGGAGTCAGTGGATCTGGTCCTTTGGCTGACCATACAAACGGCGCAGGTAGGATCAAACGATAAGCTTATCTTGTTTACAATTTTCAATATAAATTTTCACATTTTGACCAGCTGTTGAGAACTTAAAAATGTTCACAAGGTAAATCGCGGTTAACTTTGATAAGAATATAGCAGGGCATTGACTCTCTTTTGTATACCTTTTTGCTCGGGTTTTATTTACATTTGTACATGAGTTACCCTCTTTTAGATAAGCATGTAAAAAGTGTACTCGATTTGACATAAGATATTTTTAATTCTATATTTTTTGGACAGGACACTACCTTTTGGCCGATGCTCGCCATCACCATAACAAGAAAACAAGGATTCAAACTACAACACTACCGTCCGGTGTAAACTGTATTGAATTCAGTTATTTTGTTCATGGTAGCCAGGTGAAAACTTTTTTGATTCGCGCAGAAGCTCCCAGAATTCACCACACTATTAAGCAATGGAGTGGAAGCCAGACAAATGGCTGGATGACACAAAGAATCAATATGAATGTACCTTTATCTTGGAAGGTGAGTCGTCAGTTTTGACGTTTGTACAGTTCTTCAAATAGGTAGGAATTTTACTCATACATTTGCGTGCGTAATATTTTTCTCAAGTAAAAACGAACATTTTTATTAAAAACATTTTTATTTTGAAAATTTGCCAAATTTGATAAACTTGTTTATGTTATTTTTGAATAACCAATATATCTCCTCACTTTCAACATAGTACTTTAAACGTAAAAATGATATAAACACATTAAATGGTGAGAGAAGCATTGCGTTAAGTGGAAATGTTAACATTTTATCATGTCGTGGCCTTTTATAGCTGACTATACGGTAAAGGGTTTTGTCATGGTTATGTCTGTTAAGTCTTTTACGATACAAAAAAGTTTGATGAAATTAGGTCCCATAAATTTTCTCTTTACATTTAAAAGTGGAATAAATCTAAATTTGCCATTTCTACAATTTTCTTCTGATCTATTTTAACTCGCTTACTCGTCGAAGTTTGAGTATAGCCAAATCACAGATTAATATTTTAATTAGATATTACATTTATATATATATATATAATCTATCTACGCCCTGATGAAACCTGTACAGCCGGTCGTTTTTGCTTGCTCCGAAAACTTCATAAAGAAGGAATTCCGGGAAGACCGATAGTATCTGCCAATGGCCACCCAACCGAAAAAATATCTGAATTCGTTGATTAGCATCTTAGACCACATGTTAGAACAATGCCATGCTACATTCAAGATACAGCAGATTATTTGAAGAAAATTGATTCATAAAATCCCTTACCAAACAACACAATTTTGGTATCGATGGATGTGTGTTCTTCATACACTAATATTCCGAAGAATGAAGGAGAAGCCGCTTGTGAAAAGAAATGGAATAATCGTAAGGATTAACATCACCCAACCGACTGTCTGGTTCAGTTGCTGAAACTAGTGCTCAAAAACAACAATTTTGTATTCAAAAACCAGCACTACTTGCAGATTGACGGTACCAGTATGGGAACCAAAATGACACCTTCTTTTCATAGGGAATCTCAAAGAACGCATCGATCCTTTCGAGTGTGCCATACAAACCCTGTCTTGGCTCCGTTATATTGATGACATCGACATCAAATATAATGAAACCGTAGAACATCTACAAGATTTTCTAGATCTTTGTAATAACTTTCATCAATCTATAAAGTTCACATCTGAAGTTTCAAATGAGAAAATTGCGTTTCTCGACACCACCATAAATTTAGAAAACGGAGTCATGACAACCGACCTTCACACAAGGAAAACTGACAAACACCAATTTCTCTCTCCGAAGAGTTGTCACCCAAAACACTGTTCCCGAAGCATTCCGTATAGTCAAGCTATCAGGTTAAAGCGGATTTGCTCATCGGAATCAAAATTAAACCACCGTTTGGGACAACTCAGACAGCAACTTAAATCAAGAGGTTATAAGAACAAAAACATTTCAGAAGCTTTCGACAAAGCAAAAGAAAAAGACCGAACAAACCTACTTGAATACAAAGAAAAGACGGCCCAAACAAATAAAATTCCGTTTGTTGTCAGCTTTCATCCTGACTTGACAAATCTTTCATCTATTGTCCACAAACACTGGGGTCTTATTGAAAATGATTCTTTCTTAAAAGAGTTTTTTCCATCACCTCCCGTCATGGCTTACCGCAGACCCAAAAACCTCAAAGATATTCTAGCTACATCTAAAGTATCTAAACAAGAGACATCGAAAATAGGAGGTTATAAATCATGTGGAAGAGGCAACTGTAAGTGCTGCAAAGTCGCCAACATCGAAACCCAATTCGTCAGCACAGTCACAACAAATAAATACAACATATTTATAACATCCAATTGCAAAAGGCAAAATTGTATTTATATTCTAACGTGTGGAACTTGCAAGGTGCAATATGTTTGTGAAACAGAAACACCATTCAATATCCGACTGAATAACCATCGGTCATTTTATACAAAAGAAAGAAACTGCCCAATCACAAGACATCTTTTAAGAGAAGGGCATGATTTTGAAAACGTCACATTTCAAATCATTGAGAAAAACCAAGGGAGACTTAAGAGAGAGAGAGAGAGAGAGAGTTTGGATGCACCAGTTACGGACTCTTGAACCTGATGGACTCAATGAGAGAGACGAGAGAAGATTAAAAAATAAATCAAAACAATAATCTTGAAATTCGTACAATTTATACATCAATAAATATGTTAAACTTTTATTCCAACTGCGTGTTGTTTAAGCTAAAAAATATTTTTGTCATGTATCCGATATCACCTTGATAGATGCACACGCTGATGAAGCTAGTTTGTCTAGCGAAATATTGCGTATTTCTATTTAAAATCTAATAGAACTTTTCAATTTATCAATTAGCGTGTGTAAGTTATATTCTTAGACATTTATATTATAATTTTAATTTAGTAACTGTATCAGTTTATTTTCACAAGCTGGTCCACGCCTAAATAGATTGAATGTTGAATGTTGCTATTTTAAGACATTATATATATATAAAGGTGTGAGTTCAAATCCCGTTGAGGGACAAACATTTGTCAGCATAAAAATCTAATTCTAACACCGTTGGGTTTAATTTTCAGAATTATATCACTTTTTTGGTCTTTTGGAAAATGTTGTTTGTGCCATTTTTAGACCCCTCTACCAAGAAATTTGTTTTGCATGCACACGTATAAAAATTGCGGTTTTTACCCAACACAATCATAGGTTTGAACACTGTTTAGACTTGTTTATATTTTTTCGTTTGGGCTTGTATTATATTTGCCTTCGGGTTTATTTAATCCGTTCATCCTATTTCGACTCTTCAAAATTCAAGAGTCTATCCTAAATTGAGGTAAAGTATATGGCCTTCCAAATACCGTTTCGATTCCTAACATCACTGAAGAGATATTAATTGTCGAAATCCGGATATGGTGTACCAATTTTTGCACCTCATGTTTGCGGTATACCATCTTTTCCGCAAGTTTATTGTTTTCTGTTTGGTATTATATTAATAATTAAGATCCATTTTGTTACATCTGGTGATCCGTTTATTTGGCAATCGCCATGGCAGTCAGCAGGGTTTAAGAACATCCGTTGTTCGACTTGTTAGTCAAATACGTTTTGTTAAAATATACTTTTTCACTATTTTGGTCTTTTGGAAAATGTTGTTTGTGCTGTATTTAGACCACTCTACCAACAACTTAGTTTTGCATGAACACGTATAAAAATTTCGGTTTTTTATCCAACGCAATCATAGGTTTGAACGTTGTTTTCAAGTTAGACTTGTATATATATATATAATTTTTTTAAAAAATTAAATTTGCACATTTCCATTTTAGCTTGTATTTGAGGCAGATATTGGCAGTGGAGATAGAAGTATGATGGCCATTGACGATTTAAAAGTTTACCATGGTCACTGTGTTTAATATTATGTTAATATTTATGTGTCAAAACTTAGTTTGTTTTATAATTTATGTTATGAAACATATTTACATGGACATGTTTTGTGGTTGTTTATCAATATTTGAACAAAAGCGCACACTCTGAAATGTGTCACCTGTTTACTAACCTTGATTAATTTAATGACAGTCTTAAAATTAAAGGTTTTACTACAAGTATTACATGAACTTAACATTATCATTGATCGATGACAATAAGGTCAAGGTCAGATAAACCGTTGCAGACAGACATGTACACCTTAAATCATTCCACACACCAAATATAGTTGACCTTTTGCTTGTATTATCAAAGAAACAAACCAAACCATGCAAACTTAACATTGACCAGTGAACCATGAAAATGAGGTCAAGGTCAAATGAATCATGCCATACAGACCTGTACACCTTACAATCATTCCATTTACCAAATATAGTTGATACTACAGAAACCTAACATTGAGTCCAATAAAACATGATGATGAGGTCAAGGACAAATGATAGCTGCCAGATAAACATGCACACCTTACAATCATTTCATACACCAAATATAGTTGACCTATTGCTTATAGTATTGGAAAAACAGACCAAAACACAAAAACTTAACATTGACCAATGAACCATGAAAATGAAGTCTAGCTCAGATGAAACCTGCCAGACTGACGTGTACCTCTTACAATCATTCCATACACCAAATATAGTTGATCTATTACTTATAGTATCTGAGAAGAGGACCAAACTGTAGAAACTTTACATTGACGTATGAACCATGACAATGAGGTCAAGGACAAATGATAGCTGCCAGATAAACATGCACACCTTACAATCATTTCATACACCAAATATAGTTGACCTATTGCTTATAGTATAGGAAAACAGACCAAAACACAAAAACTTAACATTGACCAATGAACCATGAAAATGAAGTCTAGCTCAGATGAAACCTGCCAGACTGACGTGTACCTCTTACAATCATTCCATACACCAAATATAGTTGATCTATTACTTATAGTATCTGAGAAGAGGACCAAACTGTAGAAACTTTACATTGACGTATGAACCATGACAATGAGGTCAAGGACAAATGATAGCTGCCAGATAAACATGCACACCTTACAATCATTTCATACACCAAATATAGTTGACCTATTGCTTATAGTATAGGAAAACAGACCAAAACACAAAAACTTAACATTGACCAATAAACCATGAAAATGAAATCTAGCTCAGATGAAACCTGCCAGACTGACGTGTACCTCTTGCAATCATTCCATACACCAAGTATAGGTGATCTATTACTTATAGTATCTGAGAAGAGGACCAAACTGCAGAAACTTAACACTGACCAACGAACCATGAAAATGAGGTTAAGGACAAATTATACCTGCCAGACAGACATGCACACCTTACAATCATTTCATACGTCAAATATAGTTGACCTATTGCTTATAGCATTTGAAAAACAGACCAAAACACAAAAACTTAATTAACATTGACCAATGAACCATGAAAATAAGGTCAAGGTCAGATGAAACCTGCCAGACTGACACGTAACCCTTATAATCGTGCCATACACCACATATAGTTGACCTACTGCGTGTAGTATCTGAAAAACAGACCTAATCACGTAACTTGACATTGATCACTGATTCATGAAATGAGGTCGAGGTCAGGTGAAACCTGTCTGACGGACATGTAGACATTGCAAGAAACCCATATACTAAATATAGGTATCCTATTACACATAAAAAGTGATAAATTCACATGAAAAAATAAAAAAAAATTCAAGCAGTCGCTAAACCGTGAAAATGAGGTCAAGGACAATGGACATATGACACACAGAAACTTCGTAACATAAGGTATCTACATACAAGGTATAAAGCATCCAGGTCTTCTACCTTCTGTAATATAAAGCTTTATACAAATGGTTTGCACCGCCACCGGATAGTAATGCCTATTTCTCAATCTGTCGACTTTCGTCGCAGGCGAGACAAAAATCTAAATATGAAAAAATGTCTCATTCTTATATGTTTTTTAATATTAATCAAAAACAAACATTCTAAGAAGCCTGTATCGGTCAATCAGTTCATAATGCATTACTGTATAAACATAGATTAGTAATGTAAAGAGCTAGAATTAGACCACAAAAGATATATAAAGACAGAGAGAGCTACAAAAATAAATGAGCCACAATAGGATATCCAAAAGTTCAAAGAGACATCTTGGATTGTTGACATTTCAATATTTTTTGGTTCACCATTGTGACTTGATTGACCGTAACAGAATTTCAAATGACTACTGATACAAGGCCCATTGTGACTTGATTGACCGTTACAGAATATCAAATGACTACTGATACAAGGACTATTGTGACTTGATTGACCGTTACAGAATATCAAACGACTACTGATACAAGGACCATTGTGACTTGATTGACCGTTACAGAATATCATATAACTACTGATACAAGGACCATTGTGACTTGATTGACCGTTACAGAATATCATATAACTACTGATACAAGGACCATTGTGACTTGATTGACAGTTACAGAATATCATATAACTACTGATACAGGGACCATTGTAACTTGATTGACCGTTACAGAATATCAATTGACTACTCATACAAGGACCATTGTGACTTGATTGACCGTTACAGAATATCAAATGACTACTGATACAAGGACCATTGTGACTTGATTGACCGTTACAGAATATCAAACGACTACTGATACAAGGACCATTGTGACTTGATTGACCGTTACAGAATATCATATAACTGAAACAAGGACCATTGTGACTTGATTGACCGTTACAGAATATCAAACGACTACTGATACAAGGACCATTGTGAGTTGATTGACCGTTACAGAATATCAAACGACTACTGATACAAGGACCATTGTGACTTGATTGACCGTTACAGAATATCAAATGACTACCTGATTTTATTTTTCTAATTTTTTTGCTTAATATAACTATTAATTTGAATTTTATGAGTGACACTGGGATCACTTTGTGTGGAGTACAAACTATTCACCCTTCTCTTACACCTCATTTCATTCAAATCTATTATATATTTGTGTGTTGTCTTTTTAGTTTTCTTGTGAAATGTTTTATGAACTTTTGATATACAACTACTAGGTCCATACCTCGGCTGGAGGACTGTTAATCCCCGGAGGTATCACTAGACTAGTACTCCAGTACCGGCATGAATATACGGATACTGTATTATCAAAATTTGCTGCTACAAACTTTTGGAAACTATTCTAAAATAAGGAATATATCTCCCTCGTGCAAAGCTCTGATTCCTTTAAAGGCCCCGACATGAAAAATATGCAACAATTCAATTGAGAACACTAACGGCCTAATTAATAACAAAACAACTATATAAATAACCAATTAGCCTTTGTTATCCATAAAAAGGAATAATTTAGTAATTAAGTCCAATCTACCTATAGAATCACATGAGTGAACAGATGATCACATGATACAAATCAGAACGAGGTTGATCCTTTGTTATGCAAAGTTAGACTTTTTATTCAGGAGACAAAATTAATTTCTTTTTATATATGTTAGTGTTTGGATAGTCAGGAATTGTTCGTAGTTTGAAAGTTTTACTATAGTGATGTTATTTATAATCTTTATTTGACATGAAATTACGTTTGTAAACATTTTTCTTTGTTTGGGTGTTTTTGTGTTGATAGAGAGGGCACGTGAGTTTAGGAAGTTCCGAAAATGGCAGAGGAATTTATTATTGTGGACCCGGTGGTGGAAAATTGCAATGTTTTCCAAGACCAGGCAATAGTGGTGAAGGATGATATGGTTCTCTTCATTTGATTCATACTGGAGCTCCATCATCAATACAGTCCATCCGTTTAAATTCTGTTCCGAAACGAGCGACAGTTGAGAAAAACAATAAGGAGGCGGAGCTTAATAATGTACCTTTTACAAGTGTGGAAGTTAATCAACAACGACCGGACTTGTTAGCTCAATACAAGGAGCAATTAATAAACAACCAAAAACTTTATTTGGAACAACAAAAAGCTATTATGAGCTAACCAAATCGGTAAATGAAATTAAAAAACGCTGTTTTTCATAAAACAGCTGATCCGATTGCGCCGACGCAGTTGATAACAACAAACAATAAACGGGGCAAATCTCCAAATACATTTTATGATAGTGTTTTTGAGGAAGAATCGAATCAGAACTGGATTATGAATCCTCTCAGGAGGATGAGGAAATGACAGTGGAACCACCGGAAAAGAGGATAAAAGTTCCTATGAAATGTCAATAAACAGCTGCACCATGAGCACATGATACGCCCGTCGCATTTTCAAAGAATAAAGTTCAATAACTTCTCAATGTCATATCAGAAATTCATGAAAAACTAAAGGGAGGTTATCTTAATAGATATAAACAAGTCACCAAAGTTTCATGATAACTGCTCAAAGCATTGACCGAAAACTGAAAAATACTTCCTTTTTTATGAATACAATCACAAACGTACAATATAAAAATTATAAAAATCGAAAGTGAGCTTACGTCAATAGATATAAACAATTCACCAAAGTTTCACGAAAACTGCTAAAAGCATTTTTGAGTTATTATCCGTGAACTGGAAAAAAAAAACTTTTTTTAATGAATAAAACCCCACAACTCGGAAACGTAAAATATAAAATTTATTAAAATCGAAAGGGAGCTCATGGCAATAGATATAAACAATTCACCAAAGGTTCTTGCAAATTGGTGAAAGTGTTTTTGAGTTATTGTCCGAAAACTGGAAAATCCCCCTTTTTTTAATGAAAAAAACCCAAAACTCGTAAACATAAAATCTAAATTTTTTAAAAAAACGAAAGGGAGCTTACGACAGTAGATATAAACAATTCACCAAAGTTCATGCGAATTGGTTCAAGCGTTTTTGAGTTATTGTTGACGACGACGGACGGACAGGCGGACAACGGTATACCATAATACGGCCCGTAAACGGGCGTATAAAAACGGAAAAAATGAAAAAAAGTTGAGAACATTTTGTCAAAGAAGCAAAAGTTAGGATCGCCGGTGCATGACGAGATTGCAAAAATTGAAAATCAAGGGGCGGAGTCTGGCGTTGATCATAAAAACAAAGAGGTACACAAATTAGTTGACAAATATGTACGACCAGAGAATTGTGAATTTTTA